AATATATATATATATATATATATATATATATATATATTCACCCATCTTACCCTAAAACATTAAATACATTGAACAGACCATAAGACTAGACAAATCAAATTACTATCAAATAAAACTGCACAATCAATGAGATTCAAGAATTGCTGTTGCTAATTGCTAACGACAAAATAATAATTGTAGCTATTTGCCTGCACATAAACCTCTTGATTGTTGTATGATAAATGAATAATGTAATAATGATGCTTAAAAGGTTCCCCTCTTCATTCTAGTTTAAATGAAGCGAAAACAAAAAAAAGGACAGGCCAGACAAATACAAGCATGCTAACTCGATGACCCGTTAAGATATGTGTTTGTCCAAAATAGCATTTCATTCAGAATTCATCAAACATACCTGATCCTCATGGTTCCCCAATAATATTAATATGTTTTGTTTAAATATTTTGATATAAATATGTCTGAAATTAAGATTAAATACTTATTTTTCAAACAATGGAGAGTATCGTAAACTCTTCCGCATCAGTATGCCATGCATGCGACGGATGACATCAGACGTAAATGACGTCAACGGTAAGCATGTGAAAGATCAGATATTTGTTAATCGTACTCAAATTTACTTCAGTATATCCAAAACACCTGAGACAGAAGTTGATTTTCACAAGCTTTTCACATGTACTCTTGAATTTCTACTGAATCTTCACCATTAGTAATACTGAACAAGTCTCTGCTGTCAGTCACCGTGTCTCCAATCATCCGTCTGTCATGTCCGGACTTCAGTTCATCAAAAAGCTTAGTTTTATTTCCCATCTTCATTTGTTAGACTACAAAATATTGTGCCTGTTTCCCTGGAAAATTAAGACTCTTTTCACAGACTGCGTGTTTCCACAGTTATTAAAGGCAAGGACGGGACAACCTGTCACTCACACGAGATTTACCAATAGCAAACCACAACCATCCAATCAATTCCAGATGGACAAAACTTGATTGACCACATAAGGATAGTACCGCTCTAATTTTTTTTCTTGTTTGAGAAACCTCTGGATATACGTCTCAAAAGGATCACAACTTCTGTTTTATGCCAACTTTAACCTCTGATATATGCTTAACGTAACTCTGTGTAAAGCTTGTTTGTGGGGATTACCTATCTGAGTATCTTTATAAATAACCTGAGTTTGGATAATAAGACTCACTCCTTGGTCTCTTGGAGTTCAGTGTTGGTGAACAAGTAAAGGTAATTTTATTTTTTATTTTTTTGTGGGTCGAAGACTCTATATTCAGACTATTCAGACCTTTAGATTGCAGCAAATATTACCATGTAGATTAGTGATGAGTGATTTTGAAGCCCTGAATCAACTGAATCTGAGCAGTTGAAGAACTTGAAACACCACAGTCTAGCGGCAACTACTGGTCAAAATTAAAAGAAAAAAATAGGAAAAAAAAAAGAAAAAGAAAAAAGATAGAAAAATAAAGAACTTATAAAGAAGTTTTTTTTAAACAGAAGATGCCAAATGAATTGATTCTCCCTGCCAAGAAAATACAATAAAAAAGCAAGATGTGACTTACTTTAAGGTAATTAATGTTTTGCCTTTGCCGCAATCCAAAAAGATTAGCCTCAAAGAGACCTGTCTCTTTCTTTCTCATCTTCTCTGTGTTAAAGAGGTGTTTACTCCTGCCAGAAGTTTGAAAGACTGAACAGCTGATGAGGAAACACAGAGCTTTGTTGAGATGGGAGGAGCAGAATCCACCTTATGACCTAATTCATCGATTCAGGATTTCCAAGATATTGCTGTAAGAAACATGGCACCTAATGTCTACTTTATTATTTTTTGTTCTTTATCATTTTGCTTTATTTGATGTTTGCTTCATCATTGGTTCCCTCTTACGTCATACTCAGGGGTTCCTTTATGCATTTATGCACATGCGCACTTTTAAAAAATGGCACTTAAAAAGAAGAAGAAACACACTAAAATATGTAGATTGAAATGGAAATATATTTAAATGGAATGGAAGATATAGATGTACGGCATGGTAGCTTGCTTATTGTGCATTAACATACTGTAGATATAAAACCTAAACCTGATGTGTTTCAAATAATATTAGATATACCAACATATGTTCTTTTCAGTGAAGGGTTGTAAATTACCCTGAATTTGACTGTCATTATTATGATTGCTGGTAAAAGTTTTCTGAAGAAGCACAGAAGAAAGGCAAAATGAAAAACTTGCTTTTTGATTACTGTTGTATTTCTGTTTGATTTTATCGCAGATCTACTCATATGGTGTACTTAAGTTTTATAGCAGGTGTTGAAAAATTAAATTACATTGAGGACGGAGATTGGGTGGGGTGTTATAAAACTATAAAGCACATTTTATGAGTGAGAATAACCACCCGTCCTCGCAGTGTTATTTGTTTCTTGTGTTATTTTGAGACTTTTGCTGTACTTCCTGTTTCCTGTGCCATGTTTGTAGTTCATTATAGTTCCCCTGCTAACTACTCTGCCCTAACTGAGACTTGGATCAGACCTGAGAACACTGCCACTCCTGCAGCCCTCTCCACTAATTTCACTTTTTCCCACACCCTACGCCCGATTGGGAGGGGCGGAGGGACAGGTCTGCTTATTTCAAAAGAATGGAAATTTGATAGTCTAACATCTCTTACCGGCAACAGTTCATCTGAATCACACGCAATAGCTATTACCTACCCTGTTACAATCCATGTTGTAGTTATTTATCTTCCCCTGGTCAACTGGGTAACTTCTTAGATGAGTTGGATGTGTTACTTTCAAACTTCCCTGAGGACGGTACTTCTTGGTGACTTCAACATCCACCTAGATAAACCACTGGCTGCTGACTTCAACACTCTGCTTGCCTCATTTGACCTCAAGCGCATGTCTACTACAGCTACGTACAAATCAGGTAACCAATTGGAGCTTATCTACACACGCTACTGCTCGACTGACAACACTTTAGTAACACCGTTGCACACCTCAGACCCCTTCCTTATCACTTCTAACCTCACACTGACTCTAGACACAACACACACTTCTCCGCAGGTCACCTTTCGGCGTAACCTATGCTCACTCTCTCCCACTCGCCTATCCTCTATGGTTCGAAAAATCGAAAAGGGACATTAATTTGCAAGGCATAATCAGAAACTCATGTAATTTGTGCACAAGAGTTTTATTAACTAAACGCTAACACAAACTAGTCTATCAAAAAAACAAACAAACAAACAAACACTCATACATAGGAAAGGGCAAATGAGGCTTGATGGATGAAGCCATCAGGAAAAACCAGAGAATGAAGCTATGAAAAGAGTCAGTTAACCACCTGAGTGAAACCATCAGCGCCGTTTTAGAACAGGGTGTAGGGATTTCTCTATTAACATATGTGAACTCACCTCTGTGTGATCTATAATGGCAAATGGTGGTGCTTTTTAGCATAGAAACTTTAAAAGTGATTTGTCTAGGTGCTCTTACTCTGCACCTTCGCTGACGGATCGGTCCACCACCACTTGAATTACAGAACATCTCAAACCTTTATTAAAAAATATATATATACGAGTCATCATTGCATTTCCTAAGGGCTTATCTTGTTTATTATGATTAATGTCTTACTTTTCAGTAATCAACTCAGTAAACAACAATCCTGTGCTATGAGTACTGCCGCTTCGCTATAGTTAAGTTGTTGTACAATTTGGATGTGCTGGTCAGTGTAATATTTGTCCCACCCTTCCTCCACTGTAATTGGATGGTAGGGTAATTATGACTAGTGCAGCATTTTATCCACTGATCTATAAAAACCGGATTGCTCTGAGGTCATAACAAGTAAATATTGTTATTCCCACATATTCTATTAACTTAATATGAAATTATCTGATTTTAATGAGAAAACATTCCCAAGTCACGTTTTATATTTAAAGTCTGCCTGTACATTCTTACAATGCAAAATTAAACGTGCTAAGCATGTACTTGGTTACGTATTAGGCCAGGAACTTCCCTGCTTATTGAAGAGTTAAGTTTATCTTCATTACAGTAGTTAACATATCAGATCATACACCTCAACCTATGTATTAAACATAACAAAGTGGTCATTCTGGTGTCTGAATAAAGATTGCTCCAAGCAAGATGATGCAGGTAAACCATGAATTTCAATACAATATAATAATATAGTCATAGGCTTATATTGTAATAAAAATTGTATATCCGATCTGAATGAATTTATGCTAATAACATGTATATGTAACATAATATATGTACGTTTAATATTTTCTGTATAATGCATAATTACGTACATAAAAAATATATATTTTGTTAGGTCAGTCACCTGTGTCGACAGAAATCTGATATATGGTCGTATGTAAAACACGTTTGTTCATTTATGGCCATGTATAAGATTTCTGTAGTGTGCAGTAGACACACTCATCTCAACGATGTCTATATATTGCTTATCCTATATTCTGTATGAATGATACAATGCAAACTAATATTGATTTTAGGTCATTATTTGACCTCTGTCGGTTGGGCAGCACCAATATGGCCGCTACAGCAATTATATAGCCTACACAGTATAGTGTATAAGTGGTTTTACCCAAAGTTAAACATTTCTTGCAAAAGTTCTGCACTATGGATTATGAAAATATGCAAGGATATCGTACAAGCATATTTGATTTGTTTTGGGTGGTTTTCTGTGCAATTGACATTTCATAACTACTTGTTCAATAATAATTAACATTGTTGAACAAACAATTAATTTAAAAGTTTTGTAATGCAGTAGTCTGAATTTATTATAACTGGCTAAAAGATTTTACAATATTTC